CATGTGAATCCTCATGTTCTGTTGTTTGCTTTATTTTTCGGATTTAAAATTATTCCCCGGGAAACAAGTGTTAGTATTTTTAACGGGTCACAGACACTTATCCTTTCTAATTTAATTCAGTTCTAATTTAAAATAATCTTGTCGGTTAACGAGCATCATTTGTCGGTTAGGAAAAATAACTAAAATGAACATCCCTAGTATTTCACAATATTTTAGTTTTTACTGTATTTTTGATCACATAAATGCAGCCTGGTGAGTGTAAAAAACTTCAAAAACATAAAAAAAAAAAATGCCCATAGTTTCCATAGTCTAAGAATATGTTTGTGTGATTCTTTTGTATTGTTTTCCAGATCACATAGCTCACATCATTGAGCTGCTGGGTCCCATTCCTCCACACTTCGCCCTGTCAGGCAGATACTCCAGAGAATACTTCAGCCGAAGAGGTAAGAGCTCAGCAAACACTATTCTTAAAGATTTCCTTCAAAAAATGCAACTTTGGATGTTTAAATTACAGGAGAATGTCAGGGTGAATCTGATGAAGAACATGCCTGAGTCACGTTCCCTTTGCATGAAGAGCTTGAGTTTATGGTCCATTAAGATGAGATTCAGTCATCATCAGGTCATAGACAAACCCCAGAACATTGTGACGTGCAGGTTCATTCGTTTAGTGCTTCTTCTCAAAAGGTTTTCCACAGACGTGTAATGAATAGTCAGGATATTATTAGCTCAGAACATCCTTGCTGAAGATCAACCCTTTCACAGAGTTCACTCCGCTTGATTTCTAAGCCACTGAGAAAGAGCCTCTCATGTTTCCTAACTCCAGCAACAGAGCATGACTGCTCTTATTGTGTTGAATGTATAATTGAATGAATAAATTCCATTTGTCCACTGCTATAGAACGACAAATCCCACCCCATAAATCTACAGATAGTCCTAATTGTTTAGGCGTCTAAATATATGTGTGTGTGTGTGTGTGTGTGTGTGTATATATATATATATATATATATATATATCATTTTCTAAACTTGTTAAAAATTATAGCAGCAGATGCTTAATATATATGTGACCCTGGACCACAAAACCAGTCATAAGGGTCAATTTGACTGAGATTTATACATCATCTGAAAGCTGAATAAATAAGTAATTATAATAATTGATAAAGAAATAATTGATGTATGGTTTGTTAGGATCGGACAATATTTGGCCGAGATACAACGTATTTGAAAATCTGGAATCTGAGGGAGAAAAAAAAATCTAAATATTGACAAAATCGCCTTTAAAGTTGTCCAAATGAAGTTCTTAGTAATGCATATTACTAATCAAAAAATAAGTTTTAATATATTTAAAGTAGGAAATTTACTAAATATCTTCATGGAACATGAGCTTTACTTAATATCCGAATGATTTTTGGCTTAATAGAAAAATCTATCATTTTGACCCATACAATGTATTGTTGGCTATTGCTACAAATATATTTTATTTATTTATATTTCTTTACCTGGATTCACAACTTTCCTTCAGACACTGCTGGACTACTTTCATAGAAAACAGGCCACCTTGACATTTGCATGCTGTTTCGTCCTTGAGTTTGCATGAGAATGTTTTGACCCGAGTGTGTGTGTGTGTGTTTGTTTGTATTTGTATGTAGGTGAATTGAGGCACATCTCCAACCTGAAGCCGTGGGGGCTGTTCGAGGTGTTGCTAGAGAAGTACGAGTGGCCGCTGGATCAAGCAGCCCAGTTCAGTGACTTCCTGCTCACCATGCTCGAGTCCATCCCGGAGAACCGTGCCACAGCCGCCGAGTGTCTACAGCACCCCTGGATCAACTCCTAACGCGCCGTTTTCCTTGTGTTCACTGCCTTTGTGCAGTCTGCGTCATTTAGGTCCGTCTGATCACTTGGTGCACACACACATCCACCTTTCAGAGCATAACCTCACTGCTAAGGTAAAACCTACTGGAGATACAGTATCTGAGCACAGACCTAGCTAGAACCTCAAACCTATGTTGTTTTTTATATATTTATTTAAAGCTTTGATCTCTGAACATGATGGAGAGAATGTCTGTAGTCAGAGTTTTCATTGTACGGTCATTTAATTGTGTAGAAGGGTCACATATTTATATGTTAAAATAGTGCCTTGACATGTCATCTGCAAAAAAAAAAAAGCCCCTCCTTTTTATATTTCTCTGCGAATATGTGTGAGGAGTGCTTGTTTGTGCACATACAGAAGACTGTATGAATACTTGACTGAATTCAATAAAGACTTGAGCTCTTAAACCCTGTGTACGGAAGAATAAAGGATCACTTACAAACACAGCTGTCATAATGGAGTATTTTTTTTAATAATCTTCATGTGGTTACCATAATGTACTGTAACAATGGAGCATATTTTAACATTGTCAATAATAATAACTATGAAAGCTCTGGCACGGTTTATTGTTCCAAACATGCATGATTTTTTTTCTTCCCTTGACTACAGGTTTAGCAAAACCTGTACGCTATGTTTGAAAAAAACAGCACTGTATTTTACTGTTGCTGTGACACTATAGTGACACTAGAGGGCGATAAAGGACCATTGCAGGCATTAACCTACAAGTAATAAATAAGAGTTACAGGAAGTCAAAGATCAGTGTTGTGGCTAGGCCACAACTAGACCATGAAAATGTCCAGACCAGACCAGTTACAAAGCATACACAAATTGATTTCATTAGACTGTGTACCCAAACTACGCATTTATAAAGGAAACCCATGGAAGAAGTCCAGTAAGGAAATCCATCTGTTTTAACATTAGTCAGATGCACCATTCTGTGGGTTTCATGTGTTTGTCACGGTTGTAAATACAGAAGTATTCAGAGCTGCAGAGACAGAGAAGCCCTTAAAATGTATTAAATGAAGAAATTCATCAGTCCTAATACTGTAAGTCCAGTCACTTCTTCCTGCGCACAACCGTCCAGCCATCATCCTCTTCCTCATGACTCGCGGCCCGAGGAGGAAGATGCTGCTCCTTCACTGCTGCACCTCCATCACACTCCATATCCTGAGAAAAACAACCAGAGAGAATTCATAAAGGGGACATTTGCTTCTAATACTGCATGATATACTTTTAAAATTCAAAAATAACATCAACCAGCACCAAATATTTTGTACCATTAATTAATAAACATGAAAACAAATCCTAAATATATTATACGGTATTTTTTTTATTTAAGTTATTTATTTTGTATATCTCATATACAGGTGCATCTCAAATTAGAATGTCGTGGAAAAGTTCCTACTTCAGTCTGTGTGCACTGAATTTATTTAATACACGAGTTTCACAATTTGAGTTGAATTACTGAAATAAATTAACTTTTCCACGACATTCTAATTTATTGAGATGCACCTGTATAAATACATATACTAAAAACATAACGAATATTAAAAAAATACATACACATACAATTATTTTTATATTGATATATTAAATGTATATATTATACAGAAATATTACACTTAAAATGTTAAATATAAATATTTAAACATATTCATAATAACATGCCAACAAGTACCAAATATTTTGTACCATTAATTGAAAAACGAGGAAAAAATTGAAAATTTATTATTTTTGTAATTATTTCTTTTATATATCATATTTACGACTGCGTTTTAGTGCCACGTAAAAAAAAAAAATCTAATATTACGACATTAAAGTCATAATATTTCGAGAATAAAGACGAAATTACGAGAATAAATTCTAAATATTTCGAGAATAAAGTTGAATAAAGGCAAATGGCCCGGATTGAGAGCACCGGGAGAAGTTGCCAGGCCACCAGAATTGATTTGAATATTGTTGCGCCTGAGCGGCCGCATCATCTTACTGGGATGAGGAAGAGTTCATTTTAAGGACTCACGGAAACAGCTTAATATCAAGAATATGATATTTATTAACAGACTGAACAGGAACAACTTTTTATCTTAACATCAGCTCACACACCCAATAGACATTCCTTTGGGGGGGGCGCTGGAGCTCTCTTATTTAACCGTTTTTTAAAGGTGCAGTAGGAGATCTTGGAAAATGGCACTGAAAGCGAACGTCCCACCCTTCCTGCATGTTTTCTTTGTGAAAATTCCAAAATTCCAAATTTGTGAAAATTCCACCACCTACTCCGCAAAAACGTCTGTGGCGTCCAAACTTTTATTCCTCACATGTAGCCTATTTAATTAATAAAACGTTCTAAAAGTTGAAGTGGGCTCCAACTCTTTAACATAAGTTATATTGTTTTCTTTTCTGAGGTAGCCTATAGGCTGTAACATGTAAGTGACTATTCACAAGCTGTTTTATTCATGGTATAATACAGTAAATGATTGGACATAATATTTAACGTCTTCCATTCATTATTTGTAGCACGCCAGCCACCCAGTAATCGCAATAATTTTGTGCCTTGTTGCTTTTATTCTTACACAGCTCAGCTTTCTAAGTTTTATAAATCAGTTTTATCACAAAATACAAATTATAAATGTTTTTCCTCTTTATTTCAAGTTTATAGCAAGATATAAAAGTGAAGGAACATCAGAAGGCATGAAAAACAGTATAGCTTAATTTATAATGAAAATAATGTCTCATTGTAATAGGACTCACATGCCGCTTAAACATTTCGACTTTATTCTTGTAGTATTTCGACTTTATTCTCGAAATATTACGACTTTAATCTCATAATCTTTGAAAGTTGAAAGTCTCTTCACATCCCGATAGCGATCATTAAGTTAAGTGGTCTAAATGTATTTATATGCATTTATATATTCTGTGGACGGCGTAGGATCAAGAAATGTTCGTCCAATCAAAATGCTCGGTCCGAGCATTTTAATTGGCTTTCCTACCTGCCTGTCAACGTATGTATTAGCATACCTCTGCGCACCCGGTTCGCGCAGACAGGATACGTCATCAGCGCGTTCACGCACGCTGTGCAGACAGAGCGAGGATGGCAGGCAAACATCAACAACCCGATCTTCCTTCATGGTATTGTAGTACTTTTACTAACTGAACTATAAAAAGTTTTCTCACCGGTGAATGGCACAAGATGTAGCCCAGAGGTTCCCAATTCCAGTTCTCGCACAGGGGAAGCAGGGGAAATCTGTTGAAGTTTACTTCACTTCTGAACATTCATTCACGGATTTGCGCTGCGCAGCGTCTTCACACACAGACGAAACTTACTAGAAAAGTGTGACATAACATACCTCTGTAAATAAATACTATTTAAATTCACGTTTCGCACACTTTAATGCAGCTCCAACCCTGAAAAAAAACCTCACCTGCCTATAGCCTTAGTAATCCTGAAGACATTGATTAGCTTGTTCAGGTGTGTTTGATTAGGGTTGGAGCTGAACTCTGCAGGACTGCGGCTCTCTAGGACCGAACTTGCCTACCCCTGCCCTAACCCAACCCTTACAGAAAACCTGTTTGCATTGTTACACTATATGTTAATAATAATTTTTTCCCTTATCCCACAATGTCAAAAAATTTTACTATCAGGTTTTACTATCCTTGTGGGGATATTTGGGCCTCACAATGTAGCATAAACAAGTACACACACACAGAAAGACTCAGCTCAACAACTGTAAACACCTTCGACTAATATCTATTCAACAACAAAGCAAACCTGCGGCAAGCTGCCGTCATCCACCACCGTGTCAAACTCGTTGTTCATCAGGTCAGAGATGAAATCCTCCACCTCGTCCTGCTGCAGCTCATCTGTGAGGAGGCACAAGCGGGTTTGCTGTGACATCAGGAGATCTACACAGCGTTAGTGAATGATTCACCGGCTCTGACCGTTATCGACGAAGTACTGCTGCAGCGCGTCCACCATCCACTCCGCTTTCTGCTGACTGTACGCGCCTCCGAAACCATTATCCACCGCGATCTGCGAGAAAACACTCAAAGCTACAAATCACAAGATCAGCAACTGCTCAAGACGTGCATCATCACGACTCCTGTGCAGCTGGACACATATCGTGACAAGACAGAACTTTAAGAGTTACATGTATGTTTGTTGTATATTAACGTCATGTTTACACTTGGCAGCGCTAACTTGCTAACCACGTAACGTTAGCAGTCTGGTTTCTGAATTTGTAAAATGCTGAATAAACCTAAGCTTGCTTAATAAACATGACGCTATTCTACGAAATATTTATTCTTCGGAATATAATGTTGTAAATTTACTAACTTGTAGCACCGGCCACGTTTCCAAAACAGCCCGAACTGCTTCACTGAACAATTCACGTGTGGAAGATGTGAGCGGCGCCATCTTGAAAACGAACAGACCTGAAGAGTCAATCACAGATGTCACAGGGAACGCTGAAAATGCACCAGGAAAAATAATCAATCACAGAAACCGCCCAAACAACTAACTTGACTTGACTGCTTATTAACTTGATTAAAGAAAGTTGCATTTCTATGCACATATATGTTAGTTAAAATGTTACGGATTTTATCTAATCTTTTGGATGAGTTTACTCACACAAGGATGAAGACCTGGTACAAATTATTGTTCAGAAATGTACACTTTTTGATAATAATAATAATAATTTACATATTTGATCAAATGAAGTATATAGTATGAAGTTTATATACATAGGCTACATGAAGTATATATAGTATGAACATATATAACTTGTAACTATATATATAATTTAATATTCAGCAATGATGCATTAAATTGATCAAAAGTGACTACATTATAATCACAATATATATAGTGATTAGAACATCATTTTATAAATACACTTTCATTTTTTAAATAAGCTTGTATATACTCATAGAAGATAGCTACAACTTGTTATTCAGAAATGTACATACCTTTATTGAATTGTATATCTTTGATACAATAAATGAACAGAATTATATAACATTTTTTAAAGATGTGTGTGGGAATACTGGGGTTATAAGTATGTGGTTTTTATCATAACAGTAATTCTCTGCAGTAAAACTGGCTCGGTAAGAAACACAAAGCAGGGTGTCAGCATTATAACATTCCTTGGAAAAATGAAACAGCAACCCATGCAAGGCTTCGGACCTAGATGTGGATCCAACCACGCCCCCTGGATCTTTGTTCTGCAGTGAGGGGCTACTGGATTGCAGGGAGGGTGGGACGTTCGCATATATATATATATACACATACACACTAATATACTATACCTCTTCATCTTCACTCTCATCATCATCAGCAGCAGGTGTTTTGGCAGGTGTGGCCTTTGCTCTCCCAGCGCTCTTCTTCTGAATCAGCTGCTTGATCTGCTCTCTGACCTCTGTCAGTCTGTCCTGCTGACACTGCTGGAACATCTCACACACCTTCTGCGCCACCTTAGCGACAGTTTCACACACATACACACGTTTGTTTCTGTGAATTGTGGGGACTTTCCATAAACTATATACTCATAGAAGATAGCTACAACTTGTTATTCAGAAATGTACATACCTTTATTGAATTGTATATCTTTGATACAATAAATGGCAGAATTATATAACATTTTTTAAAGATGTGTGTGGGAATACTGGGGTTATAAGTATGTGGTTTTTATCATAACAGTAATTCTCTGCAGTAAAACTGGCTCGGTAAGAAACACAAAGCAGGGTGTCAGCATTATAACATTCCTTGGAAAAATGAAACAGCAACCCATGCAAGGCTTCGGATAACTTTGGCATTGACCAATAGCAAAAGCGCAAAAGCAGTCGACAAACCAAGCTGCTGTATTATACATGTTGAGGCGCATATTTACTGCTCAGAAATCTTGAAATGAAAAAGAACTGCATTGATTTATATCAAGGAAAACACATCAAGTTTGAAATCCTCAGTTTAAATATATAGCTGCTAAAAATGTCACAAAAATATTGTCAATGCTTGATGGACGGACATTACGGATTTGAAATAATAATGTAAAATAAAAGCAGTTCTTGTCACTTCAGCTTCATTCAGGTGTCCAACTGTGGTCACTGTGAGCCATGTGTGTATGTCATCAGAAATATATGATTTCCTTCACTGTTAAAAATATAAACCTTCCTCAAACTTGTTTTATATGTAAATGTTCATATGATGGGTCATATTTCATATTCGAGTCAGTTTGGTGCCATTTGTGCCAAATGTGTTAATGCAAACAAATTTGTAATACCAAAACAACTATTTTTTTTTAAAATTATTGATTCTAAAAGGCACATTTAGATGTTGCTCCAAAACCATGTTTGTTTAAAGTGCCCCTATTATGGATTTTTGAAAATTACCTTTCATGCAGTGTGTAACATAGCTCTAAGTGAATGAAAACATCCTGCAAAGTTTTAAATCTGAAAGTGCACGGTGTATAAAGTTATTGTGTCTCAAAAGAAAGAGTCGACTCTGAATCATTGAAACGAGTCGTTTTAAAAACGAATCCGGTAACGCTGTACACAAAGCAGCACTGCGCTCACAAACGCTGATTTATCAGGCATTACTGGCATGATGAAACGAAAATGAGACCAATCGGACCAATCACCGCAGATTAGCGTCACGCAAAGGAGGGGTTTGGAAAAATGAATCGTTGAGTGAATCGTTTGGGAGTCGTCGAGCAAGTAAGGTAAAATAAATGCATATTATAAGACAGTGAAAGTGTTTTTGACCTTGCATGCATGTCAACCTGTTGTTGGGGACTCCCAAAACCAAAATATGAACCTTTCATTACCCATAATAGGGGCACTTTAAACCTCTTGGATTTGCACATTAATCTTGAGTTTACTGACTCAAAACTCATGCATAAACCTAATCAATATTAAGCTGCCTTTAGTAGTGGAATCTGAATGAGTCTAACTATGGGTGACATATAAATTAAGATTTTCTAGATTGTTTTTTTTTTTGTGAGTTTTCTAAAATAAAACCACAATCTGACAAAGCACTTGTTATAATGAGTGTCATTAATGTGCTGTGGTCAATATGATAAAATCTTTTCAGGTTGCTGTGGTGACTGATCCGAATATGTGTGGATTTGGGTTTACGTATATATTGGGAATTATTTTTAATATGTAACGAACATGCAAACTTATAAATATATAATATTATTACCTTTAAATATGAGTTACCCAAATGTTCTTAAACTTGAAAAGACTAATGTAAACAAAAAAAATAGAACCAAATTCAAGTTTGGGACATTGATTATATTGCACTTGTTATAATGAGTGTCATTAATGTGCTGTGGTCAATATGATAAAATCTTTTCAGGTTGCTGTGGTGACTGATCCGAATATGTGTGGATTTGGGTTTACGTATATATTGGGAATTATTTTTAATATGTAACGAACATGCAAACTTATAAATATATAATATTATTACCTTTAAATATGAGTTACCCAAATGTTCTTAAACTTGAAAAGACTAATGTAAACAAAAAAATAGAACAAAATTCAAGTTTGGGACATTGATTATATTGCCAGCAAATAGTATTCACATTTGTTCTGCTCCACCTGAATGTTTTACAGCTTGTTCGTGCCAATATTCAAATGAGTCCACTCCATGCTTCATAATTAACAGAGATGGATCAAGTTGGTTGGAAAGGAGTTCAGCATTCATACAAGCAACAGGAAGTAACAGTCAGCTATATTTGTGTATTGTAAGATTTTCCATGTCAACATACTTCTGATCCACATGTTCCTGGGTGTAAAGATTGACTATTGCAATTGCAAGAACTCAAAGATTATAAACTAAAGAACAGGAAAAGGGATTTTTAACATTGCATCAAACATTTTACAACTGTTATTCGTGGTTAACATCCCTAGACTCAAACAGAACAAGTGACCACTCATATATGCATAATTATTTACTGAAAATATACTATGGCCACCTGAGAGGATTTCCTGCATTAGATATCCATGAGATGTGAAATGTCCATTAACAGTGAGTATTGCTTAATGTGTTTAAACCGCTCTTAACATTTATAGAACAGCAGACCGCATCGCTCCCTTCTTGCATTCACGTATGGACAACCGCCAACTGGAGAAGAACAGTAAAATGGCTGAAAATCCTGAAACTTTGGGCTTTTTAAGTGGATACAATTGCAAAAGAAAAAAAGCAAAAGAAAATAATACTGTACTGATCAATGATCAAGTTTTGTTTCACATAAAATGCCCATTCTAAAAGATCGAGCTGTACAAAAGAAACAATGAAAACCATATGAAGTCCATATTTGCTCAAAGTGTCTCCGTGTATAAAAGCATTTCACCTGCAATCATATCAAAACCTCACTTATTCAATTCCACATAAAATGGGCAATAAAACAGCCTTGAGTTTTTGCATGACAATTTCTGGCATTATTTGCTTCTTTTATATTTAATGACATGCAATGCATGCCAAAATCAGAACCAAATTAATTTCAAATCAAGAGGGTTTTCAAAGAAAAAGTTATTGCGTAAATTAGCAATTATTGCGCAGTAATGAACAGTTGGCCACGCTTATCCATTGAAGCCCTTTCACCGCAGTCCGTCCGCATTCCAGATGAAAGCTTTAAATTAGATGAGCCGTTTTCATCCTAACAAACATCAAAACCAAATATCTACACCACATGAGTCTCCTATGGTAGTAATGTCTGGTTACTACATCTTATTAAAAAAAAAAAAAAAAAAGATAGAACACAATGAACAATGTCATCAATGATAAGTATAACAAAAATTATATTCTTCTTTGCTTTAAAAATTATACATTGTTAGGAGGATCTTCTCATTGCACTCTCCATGCTTCTGATCTGCAAAAAACATTCTAAGGCTATTTACAAAGTACCACAGGCTTCCACTATACAACACTGCCATGCAAGTCTGCATTCCCCTCGTCGAGAGCGTCTCTCACGCACACATATGCAGCACAGGTATTCACAGGTCATCTCCAACAGGGAGGAAGGGAAGTCACAATCTATCACCAGACCAAACATTTTGGGATTGCTTGAATTAATTAAAAAAATTTGCTATTTAATAAAATATCATCCATCTAGTAACACCGACGGAAACTGAGAACAAGTTTTAATCTCCTCTGCATTCAGCTCTAATGGGGTGAATCTTGCAAAAAATATCTAGTCACATTTCACCCAGAAATAAAGAGACAAAAAAGAATTTTACATAAAAAATTTTATTTTTATTTTTATTTTTTGCATGGTGACAATTTTTTTAACATTATTTACATACTAAGCAAATTTCCCTCCTTACTACTGTAATGCGCTTGGAAGTTTTACTTTTTTTTAACTTTTGACTGTATTTCTCATAATACAGTAAAATTATGCTGTATTACAGGAAAAAGTTACTATCAAATGATTTGCACTGCCAAAGAGAGTATAACAAATATTACCATGCACATATGCTTTAAAAATACAATATATGAAATACACTGTATTTTAGTAATTTACAAAAGTTTTATACAATTTAAATCATGTTTTTAAAATTATTACAGGAATAAGAATTTGGAGACTAATTGCTGATGATGTCACAATGCAAAAAAAAAGAGATTAATAGTCCTAAAAAATTGGCTACTTTATAATAAATCAAATGTATTATTTTTCTCGTACTTTCGGGGTGAAATATCACCTTGACTCTTTTTTTTTTCTTTTTTCCAGAGATTCACCCAATAATCACATTTGTGGGACTGTATAATCGCAGACATTGTGCAGAGAGGCCCTGAATCGCACACGGCAAGGGACGGTAGCGTTTTGAATCTGCGGTGTGTTACGCGACACCAATGCGCTCCAAAACCTGCGGAGTATGAACAACCGAGCCGAGATGCAGAACATTATCCACCGCACTCAGCTGTTCTGCAGAGTGTCAGAAACCTGAGCCCTATACAATTCGACCGGTTCTCCGCATGTGCCCGGGCATCCCATTATGAGTTCTCATCGCCCTGACTGAACCGACATAGAAATCAGCTCAGTTTTCAACCAGAGTGACAGCCGTAAGAGCTGCAGTAATGGAAGAACTATCAACAAGGCTGCGTCGAGATTATCGGAGGCTTTCCTCAATGCAACTCAAACGTTCTAAGTTGCTTTGCACAAATAATTTGTCCTTGACACAGTGTAGCTAATCGAGGGTTCACTTGAACATCACGATGGAAATGGAAGCTCATAAGTCAAACCAAAAGGGATAGAGAGATGGCATGGGGGTCTTTGGTGAAACCGTTTTCTAGATTATCAACCTGTATTGCATGGCAAAAAACATGTAAACAACAACTTAAAAGTGAAATGCTTTTGCAAACAAAAACAAAAGTTGACATGTCGTCAATGTTCTAATGAATACAAATAACCATTGTGTTGGCATAGTACTAAATGTTCGTCTTTGGATGGGAGGGCTGATGACACTAATGAAGGGGACCATTTTCTGGAAGACTAGAGTGACTTGGCTTCTGGATATTAACAGCATTCATGACACGTTCCTTCATAAACTGGCCTTCCTTTTACATTACAATTGAGAAGTATTGCAAAGAAACCAGGCTGATTTGTTTCAGTCAAAGGATGAAGAGTCAGGTCATCCAATAACATTCTGCGTCTGATTGGTTGAGTACAGCGGCTGGATTGAAGCAACCGTGTCGAGAAGGTACAGCAAAACAGGAAGAACATGTTTGTAATGTGAACAGGGAAGGGGAAGTGCATTATTCCAAATACACAAATCAACATCCTCAGCCTCTCCATGTAAACAACTACAGTGACCCCTTCTAAACACATAATGCCACAGGACTAGCCAATGACTCAGACGGAGAAATGAAAAACAGATATCCCCTTCATCTTCACGACAGGAAACGTCTCGACGCGTCCTCCCCGTTTATCTTTTCCGTCTTCCCTGTCCCGAGCTGCCCCACGTGCCCTCAGAAGAGCAGACTCTGCCGTTGAGATATGCTGTTGACTGGAGAAAAAGAGAAAGTTAAGGCTACATAAACGGACAGCGAGCATTCAGTGGCTAAATGGTGCATGCAACATTGTGCACGATAAAGCCAAATGCACAATCACTCGTAAGGACCGTCAGAGGGTACGAAGGGTCACAAGAGGGAGAGAGAGAGAGAGAGAGAGAGAGAAAATCAGCGCTCACTTCATTTAGAGAACTGGGCAAGAGAGTAGGCGAGACGTGCACCCAAACACACAGCCACCCACACATGCTCAGTTTAAAGCTCTAGAGAAGCCTGGGCTGTTTTCTTATTTGGTGAGGGAAGAGGGGTATTTGCACAGCAAGCTCTTCTCCCCTGTTTCTGCATATTACAGCTTCTCTGCAAGAGTGAGATACAGTCAAACTAAAAACATGCTAAAAACATTGCAGAGAAATGACCCATATTACTTTATTTCCCTCTCTGGCTCTGATTTACGTCTCTCTACACTTTTACTGTAAGTAAAGAGTCTGTTTTCAGTATGTCTAATGAAATAATGAATAAACTACTCATAATCAAGTCTCTTATTCATTTAACAGTATATTGTGAAATATTATTACAATTTAAAATAAATGTTTTCTATTTAAATGTATTTTAAAATGTAATTTATATTTGTGATGCAAAGCTGAATTTTCAGCATCATTACTCCAGTCTTCAGTGTCACATGATCGTTCGGAAATCATTCTGAACTGATTTGGCGCTCAAGTAACATTTCTTATTATTTTCAATGTTGAAAATAGCTGCTTAATATTTTTGTGGAAACCGTGATACATTTTTTTTTTAGATTCTTTGATTAATAGAAAGTTCAAGTGCAATGGAAATGGAAATCTTTTGTAACATTATAAATGTCTTTACTGTGACTTTTAATCACTTTAATGCATCCTTGCTCAATAAAAGTTATAATTTCCTTACAATAAAAATAATCTGTAATGTGTTTTTATACACAGGTGGAACCATTTCAATCGGACGGCACCAGCCTTTGGCATTTCATCAGTGATTTCAACACTGAGACTTTGAGAGCATGGATTAATATTCATATTTAGCACTGACTTTAGTGCTCTGCATAAACGCTGAATAATTATAAGCTCTGGCCTGACAGCTTCATCAATTCGTGAACTGAATACATATGAGTTCTGAGTGGAAGATTATGAGTTTTTTCACAGGAGAACCTGCCTATGAACATATTATGTAACCTCAGCCCATGAATTACCAATATTTTTAGATCACCAAAACATTATGGTTTTAGTTTATTTTACAATCAATAATAAGCAGGAAAATCCCTCATTTTGCAAATGTTTTAACCATTTGCTGAAAACCAACATGGCAACCCTGGTTTTGACATGCACATCATGCGGATTGCCAAAATGGACAGTGCAAGTCCGTGCACATTTTCATACCATACACAGAAAAGGAAAAATGTGACAGATGAGAGTGTCAATGTATTGATGTAATCTGCTGGTGTAGTGTATTGTCTGTGTGTTCTTATTTACTTCAGTGATGGAAGCTAATGTATTTCTAATTTCAAGCAGTGCATGAGTCCATTACATCTTAAAGTCTACCTATGCACTCAATTAAAAGAGAAAATGTCTTTTTTAAATATCTGAGGAGTGATTCAGATGTGATCAATTCCTATAGGGTACAACTGGACAGTACAGATGAACAGGAAACTCAAGGGAAGAAATACGGTTTTGTTGTTTATGACCTCCTGCATTGAGCGGAGGGCGACAAATATGTACCTAAGGTATGCCGGAACCTTAGACATCTTTGCAAAAGCTCTGAAGCGCAGTGAAGCAGTGGTGTAAATCAAAAAAATAAAATAAATCAAAGCACATACAAATAGGCAGGGAGAGAAAAGAGACAGAGAGACCGTGGGAAAGACAAGAGCAGAAAACAAAGTTAGCAGTGAATGAGCTGCATAATACATGGAGCTTAACAAGAACTTCCTCATGAGAATTTCTAACGCAACGGCATCATCGCAACTGTGCCTTAACAAGCCTATATGAGAAACTAACTTAGAATTGCAGATAGACAATAAAGAGAAAAGGATGGATGTTAAGAAGAAAGAGAAAGAGATCCTGTTTAAATATGTCATTGAAATCCATTTTGGGGATCTTAAAGGCAGAGTAAGTGATTTCTGGTAGCCAATGTTGATATTTGAAATCACCAAAACAAACACGCCTCTACCCCAAAAGGGTCTTGCCCCTATTTTGATAGCTCCGCCCCACATATACGTACGCAACCCAGGCAACGATTAGTTCTGTGAAACAAAGCAAAACCAATGTTACACCGTGTCTACGGACGTGAGCGGCGCGGCGCAACAAATCCCGACAGAAAACTGCTGCCGGGTTCTATTTATGACGTGCTGACACAAATTTCAAATGGTTTTCAACGGTCGTTTGATCGCGTCCAGTGTAGTCAGACTTTAGCTGTTGTAGACACGGTGTTACTCACCTACTGAGAAGAAACATAGCAACCTCGGCGTCCGATCGCAGGCCTCCGCTCCTTGAGTTCTCTCCAGCGCTGGAAAGCTGATCCGATATTTTCACGGGTCCTACTTCTTGCCTTATCTTTCCGCAGACGTTTTCCTCTTTTGTTTTTTTATCCGCCATCTCTATCTTTCTGTCGCTCGGCTCGGCTAATGTCCGTCCCATGCACTGAACGCGCTCTCCTCCACATCACGAGTAGACACGCCCCTTATTGCTGATTGGCTACAAGTTTGTTTTGCGATTCGGCCCGAATCAGTTTTCTAAAGTGTTTTTGAAAAATCACATACCCTGCCTTTAATACCAGGTGTAAACCAAACCAATGTGAGGCAGTCAGAGATGAAGGATACATTAAGCAAAAAAGAAAGAATGAGGGATATGAAGAGCGAGAGAGAGAGAGAGAAAGATGAGTAAACCAGCGTCTCTGACTACAGCACGGTGAGAAGAAAACTATTAGGAGAGAAGATGAGCAATGTGAGAAGAATGAGAGAGCACAGAAAATGAGCTGTGTCATGATGAGCAATAGAGTTAATCTAATTTGATGAACATGAATAATATTCA